TAAAAAGCTGGAGAGTATGAAAGCATATATTTGTTTTTATTTTTAGTTAATATTTCTTATATTCTAATTACATTTAATTTAAATTGCAAGTGTACAGCACAACGAGTAGAGTAACTTAAGTAAACTTCACACACCTGTTTGTTTGCTCCCCAGCGTTTGTGCTTTTGGTTTAAGTTTTCGCTTTGGCGTTCTCTAAGCTTACCTTTATTACTCAAGGTAATAACTCATATTATTGCTCACTTTTGTAGACTTTTATTGCGTGCTTTTGCTGTGAAACATGTGTGCGCATTAGACTTAACGTATGTACAATTGTATGTGTGTGTGTGTAGCGTGTGCTTGGTAAATATGGAGTGTTTGTAGTAAGTCTACACAATTTAAGTTTTGTTGTTGCTTTCGTTTCGCCGCTTGAATTTGTATTTTTTTCCACAGTTGGTTGTATCTGCTGATAATTGAGTTTTTTGTAAGTTTGTATGCGATTTCGTGGGTTTTTAACACTTCAGCATTGCGTTGAGTTTATTTGACGAAAAGCTTTCGTATTGAGCGGTGGGCTCGGTTATTTGTGATCGCACGTCTATTGCGGTTTTTTGTGTTTTGGCTTGAGATCTTTTTTTTTTTTTACTTGTGTAAAAACAAAATATATAGCAAATTTATATTGCTTTGGTGCTTAAAAACGTTTTGAGGTGAAATTCGTTAGTGAATTAAGAGTGCAAAAAATTTTTTTAATATAATATCAATATTAGTATATCAATACTGTTTAATGAAACATAAAATATATTGTATAATATTTAAATAAGTTAATATTTTTTTTGTTTGCGAACAAAAGCTGAAGTCTTCTGCCACCCAATTATTAGCATTTAAATTGTTTTTGCTATCATTAGTGCTGTTGTTGTTAATCTTAAACTGTCTCGTGTATATAGAATTCGCCGCATTTACCGCCGTTTTATTGTGTATAAATTAAATATATGATTTATTTTTTTTATTTTTTTTTTGTTGATTTTGCTGGCGTAAGTTGACAATTGATACCGCTCGCAAAATTCAGTTGCTCGTGGCTTTTTAAACACGTCGCTCTGGCATGCAAAAATCTTTTAAATTTCGTGAATAATATAAGAAATACCCAATAATGCTTATGTATCTCAAGACATGCAATAAAAAAAAGATACACACATAAACTTGACAAAATAAATTAATTGTATTTGTTTGAAGGACAATTTTTTTTTAGCAAAAAATTTTTTGTGCCAAATTTCTGAAGTGAAAATAGAAGAAAACATTAATTATTAAAAAAAAAGTGCATTGTTTTATAGTCCAAAATGCAAAAATATATCTGAAAACAAAAACGAACAACTTAAAGTTTATAAATTTTTTTTTCAAAAAATAAAAAAAAAAAAGAAAGTGCTAAAGATAATTTGTGTCAATGTCAAAAAGTTCAAAATAATAAAAATTTATTTAAAAACGTGGATTTTATATTAGAAATCAAAGTTTTAATGTTTAAAATTAATTTAAGCGAAATCTATCAATTATTATTAACTGTCAATTATTTTAACCATAAATTACTTAAATCGTAAGAATTGTACTTTAATGTTTACATAAGAAAGTTAATTTCATAAAATTCGATCAAAGGTAATAATAGTCTTAATCCGGATTTTAATCTATCCGCACCTGCCACCATATTCCGCATTTAGCTTAGACGATTTATACGTAATTGCCCTGAATTAACGTATTTTCTGCCCCTCCCCACCCTATACTCTACGTAAGCTCTGACCTGAAAAATAAGCGCGCAAAACTAAAAAAAAAAAACTTAAATAATTGTTTTTTATTTTTTATTTTCATTAATTTATTTACTTTTTGAAAGATATTAACAACAAAGTACAAATACAACTTTCGGAATTAAACTTTAGCCCTTGTACTACATTTTGAAACCGCAGGCTTTAGCATTGGCTAAAGGTTTTAATGTGGGAATATATAAAACTAAACATAAAAAGTGAACTATAATAAAATAATATAAAAATGTGAAAAATGTATATATTTATATAAAGTATATATTTTGAAATTAAAAAAAAATTACATTTTTTTATAAAAGCAACAAGCGAAATGATAGCAAAAAGCGTTTGATATATTTTGAAATAAAATAAAATTTCAAGCAATTAATATATTACATATTTTTTATTAAAAAAATAATTAAAATCTAAGCCAAGCTTAAGTATAATAAAAAAAAAAACATTAATAAAAAGTTTAATTTTTATTAAAATTATATAGTACTAATAAAATTAATTAAATGTATTTGTTGTGCATTATAGATTTTCTCCTTCATTTTTACTTTCCAAATTTTATAGCCAAAAGTCAATAATAATGTTAGTTATTTATTTTATTAAAATCAGCTACGAAATATAAAGTCTTATAACCAAAGTAAGAAAGCGATTACTAGCTGCTAAGGCTTTCAGCTCAGATATTATAAATTAAATTATATTGGCTGAATTACAGGCCTCAAAATATTTATATACCGAAAGTAAATTTTTAATAGTAACTATTCTTTATAAGGCTGTAGATAAAATATTTGAAGTTATATTATTTCGAATAGAAACAAATTAGAGTAGTTGTGAAGTATATGAACCATGGAAAGGTATTTACGGGTCATATCCATGGAATGGATAGTTAGATGGCAGATCGTCACTCAAAAGGTACTAGTGAGAATGCTTTGATTGTCCTATATGCCTATGAAATAAAAACTTGACATTATTGACAGGTACATGATCGTGGGTACATTGCTTTTTATTCACTGATATTAATTGACTTATACCGATAGATATATGCCGACCATTCCATTGTTGATTATATATTTTTTTCACATTTGTTGAATAAAAAGCAGGGATTTTATTAAAAAACATTAATTTTTTATAGTAATTTTTATGAAATAACACAGAATATTATAGATTATTACAATTGTAACTTATATCAACAGTGATATAGTCATTAAAAAAAACACATTTAAACATATGAGAGTAGTTTAGTTATAATTCTATAACTCCGTGCAAATAAATGTTGATAGTTACCTCAAGTAATGATAAGTACATATTATCTATCAGTTTTCATAACAGCACACTCACCGTGCAGTTAACAATAATAAAAATATTAAACTAATATAATAATAACTAATAATTTTACAATGGCAATTTTTAAGTAGATATGTTACTAAACTAATTATTTTGTAGGCCATATCAATATAAATAAATATTTGTTTGCATTAATAATTGTCAAGTGCCCTCTCTCAATGCTCTTTGCTATATAGGTATACTGAGTAGATGAAATATCAGACAAGTATTATCTAACAATATATTAATACAAATGTAGTAAGTTTTACTAAATGAGAGAGAAATTATTCTTTTTAGTTTTCAATGTTGATTAATGTTAAGTAATTTTTATATAATGAGAAGAGATATATTTTAAAAATAGTAAAAATAGTTTGAAGTTTAGTCGCTTTTTAAAAAATAGGAGAGAGATTTTAGAGCAATTGTTTGTTATAAAGCAAAAATAATTAATTTTCAAGTGTTTAATAATGTAAATTAAGTACTGCTATTACATCTTTATAAACAGTTTAAATCACAGTCATTTTTTGTATTGCTTTACTAATTAGTAACTAATTTTATTCTATTATATTTTATTATAGATTTTATTTATAACTGTCGGACAGATTACGTATATACTTTAAAAAAATTTTAATTAGTCTTATTTTTTAAAAAAGAATACTTAGAGGTATCTATATTTCAGATCTAATGTCTAACATGTGTAGCTATTATCTAACGATATCAGTTTATTAGGGAATAGCATTAGGGAATAGCAACAAAAATATTTTTTATATACTTGTAATCAAATAATAAAAGCATATATGATTTTTTTGAAATTAAAAAAATTTTTTTTTAATAAGTAAATAAAAATTATATATATTTTTTTAATAATAATTATAATTATTAAAAATTTAAGATATTCTTTTTACATTAACATTAAAGATGATGTACGAGATAGATTGAAATATTCAAGACACATTTTTTAAAATAAAAATAAAAAGTCATTTAACTATATATTATGTAAAATTAGTTTAATTTAGCTTTCAATTAATAAATAAAAAAACTGAAGCCCGGCAAAAGTAAAGTATTAGTTATAATAATTATTATTAAGAAACATTAATTTTTAAAAGTATAATAGTTTCTTTATCAAATCTTATATATGATTCGGAATAATTATAACAATAATAACTCTAATATCATACTATAATAATTATTATAAAAAAAATAATAATTTTAAAAAGAATAAAAAAAAAAATTTTTATTAAAAGTCGGTTTTTGTTTTTTAATATTTTAACTTTTATTTCGTGCGTTGAATTTTTATATATTCTTTATATAAATAAATCTAAATATAGTTTAGGTATAATTCTAAAAAAGTCTAGTCAAGTATTAGAATCATTTGTTAGTAGTATATTAACCAATCTCTTAACATGATCTCTATAATCTAATATAATATATTAGCTAATCTCTCTCTAAAAGGTGATCAACCATTTTTGAGTAAGGGTTTTATATTAAAAAATGTTCTTATTGTTAATTATAAATTTATTACAAATAAAATAAATAAACAAAATAAAAAAAAAATACATTTGAATATTAAAAGATTGTTATTGCTATATATAAAATTGATTATTTATTATTTTGCTAATATTCTTTTTAAACATTTTTCGAATTTTATTTTATTTTCTTGGCTTAGATTTTTTGCTCAAATAATAATTTAATTATTTAATTTTAATACATAATATATTTTATTTTATTCAAAATAAAAATGCATTTATTTTGACTTATATTTTTTATATTAAAGTACCTGCAAGTTAAAGATACAAGATTCTTGAAACGAAAATATTTATATATTAAGTGTTTAAAAATTGAAATAAATATTTACATTAAACATAAATAAAAAAAAAAACTTTTTTAAAAAGTAAAACAAATTAAGTGTTGCTAAATATAACAAAAAAAAAAGAAATTTCAAGAAATAAAATTAAAAGTTAAAAATTATAAATAAAGATCATCAAAAATTTGCCCGTTCATTGGAAACTGATGAGGTGTAACGTACGACAATAGATGAAATAATACGGGAATTAGCAACTGAAGGCGCAACCAAAGGCAATTGAAACACTCATCAAAAGAGGTGAGTAGACTTCCAAAAAAAAAAAAAAACAATCTATAAAAAGTTTTGTGCACACGCCTAAAAAAGTTAAAACAAAAAAAAAAATAAGATAAATAGAAAACATTTATTTCGATGAGATTATTTTATATTTAGCCAATGGATAAGATAACATAGAAAGAAATACGTCATTTTTGATTTCACAAAATTTCGATATATTTTGTTTCCAGCTGAATTTGTTACTGAATTTGAAACTAAAACTAAATTCGAAATATTGCATATGTGAAATATCATCACTCCAACACTCCAACAACACTTTACTTTGTTTTTGTAATTCTTTGTTTATATGTATCTGTCCCTAATGCAGATATTTATGTAATGTTTATATGCTAATCTGTGGTTTTAAATGTTAGTCAGTGGTTTTTAAGTACTCACCGAGGCAAATAAACAACGAATAGCGCAAGTGCTTCACAAGTTCTCATAAAATTTCAGTTTATTTGCAATAAATTTTTGTTAGAAAAAATAAATAAAATATTTCAATGAGTTTCTAGTGTGTTTTGTGTATAACCGTGAAAAATACAAAATATAAAAAACAACAATAAAAAAAAAAAACAAAAAACAAAATAGGTATAATACGAAAATAAAACAGCTGATTAACGTATTCTATATAAAGAAGTCTGAATAACAAAAGCATTATAATAATTAACACGAATAGTTATGTAGTATATTGTGTGAATATATATATTTAAAGCAATTTATTACTTAATTATTACTAATAACATTTTTTTTGCTATTCCATAAGATATTTTATTTGTTAATATTTTTGTATTCTAAGAAACACTGAGTTGTAAGTGCTTCAAGCGTTTTAATATGCAATATCAGGCAAGCCGTACTGTACTGTACTGCATTTATAAAAAAAAAAACACGAGATACATTTTTACTGTACACGGAAACTTTGATATTCAAATGTATTTACTTTAATGAGTTTTTTGTAATACTATTTATTTTGGGAATTTTTCTAATTGTTTATTCCAAGAAATTTTAATTACAATTCGAATTTGTATTCGCATTTCGATTTGCTTTATATACATATATATCTATATATATATATATACATATATCTATATATATATATATATTGTATATGAAGAAAATATGCAGACTTTGTCTTATTATATTTAATTTGAATTTTTTTAGCATGAAACTGAAATTTATTTATAAAATTTATCTCTTTCGTTATCAAGTATCCACTATCATAAAGATAAAGTTCTGTTTGTTTTATCAAATGTTTACACAAGTGATTAACAAATCATTTTTTTTTTTCGGAATAAAATTTTTTCGCACTTTATAAGAAATTTCCTTATGAAATATTCTTTGTTTCATACGAAAAATTTATTAGAATTATCTAATTTAATTGGAGAATGTGTTGAAATATACAACAATTAGTTAATATTTTGTAATCTCATCTCCACATTCTTCTTAATTTCTAAACTAAAAAAAATATTTTATGTAAATTTATGAATATGAAGTTAGGATAGGTTATACCGGCGATCCCTGGTGTATCCACTTAGGCCTATTGGCCCATTGTGTAATATGAATTTAAATACAAATATTAATATATTTGCAAATTATGCATATATATTACAATTACATAATTATAATATATATATTATTATTATTATATTATTATATATTAGATTGTTCGGAAAGTAATTTCGATTTTTGTAATGGTCAGTAAAGACCAAAAATTTTATGAGCGTGGATATATGCTACTACCAGAAAGATGGTAAAAGGTGTTGGACCTGAATGGCCAATATATAATTTAATAAAGTATTTGTTTATTATACCGAAACTGTCTTTCATTTCCACCAAAAAAAAAAAACGAAACTACTTTCCGAACAACCTAATATATTATATTATTATTTATATTTGCATTATTTAAATATTAAATTATTAGCAAATTATTATGTATTTTGAAATTTAAATATTAGCCAAAAAAAAAAATTAAATGAAATATTATTTAATAAAAAACATATATTATTTCTCACTGTGAATTTTATTATTTAATAAAATTCTTTTTAATATTATTGGGCGATAAGCAATTTATTGAAAATATTATCTAAATTATTGTGAGAATTGTGAATTGGGACTTAAATGAGATAAAAATAAATTAAATAATTAATTTAAAATATTTTATGAAATAGTGAACGAGAATATTAAATTTGAAATTTAACTTGATTTATATTTTGTTCATATATATATTGCAATTTGTTAACGAAGATATATATAACAATAAATAATAATTAAAAATTGACTTATTTAAAAAAGACATATACACTAAGCAAGTCCTTGAAATTAAATCTTAAGGATTTGTAGACGAATTTCAAGTCAGAATAGACGCTAAACGCATTTATACTAAAAATTTGAAATTGAATTCGAAAAAATTAATTATTTTGTAATAATTTTTTTTTTCTATTTATTTCAATTTAAGTGCAATTAAAAAAAATTGATATTGTGAAAAGTAGCATTTCAATTGTACTATACAGTATGTTTATCATTGTATATACAATGTATATATACATATTTACTTACAGTTCAGGAAGCTCAAATTTATAGTCGATAAATTGTAATAAACTTTTAGTTATACACGAGTACAAACACCCAAATAGGGGTTGAATATTTCCACCCAGGTGTTTCAAAATACTAAAGCCTAAAATGTTTCCATTTCTGTGCTTTCCAGTAACGCCTCATAGTTCGTTCAAAATAAAATATAAAATCAGCAGATGTGCTTTTGCTTATGACTGCCTAGAAATTATTTTTGTTATTTAAAAATTCATGTTTAACTAGAATCAGGTAATGATTTTCACAGTTAGAATTTTGTTTTTAAAATTAAAAATTTAAATAATTTCCTAAAAGCAACTTCAACATTAGAATAGAAGGAAGAAGCTTAATTGGCAGTTTCAGATTTTTGTTGTAGTTTCGTTTTGCGGAAATACATTATTTCTGAAATACTAATTAGGAAATCCGAAACTATAGTTAATACAATCCAAGTATGTATATAATTCAGTGCGGTTTATTAGGAAAGCTTGTTAAGCAATCTAAATTTTAAGCAACTTAGACACATAGTTTTAAGTGTTTATTTATTATTATATATTTTAGTTGTACATTTAGTAGTTACTCAAACGTGTACTACTCTTGAGTATATACTAAGGAATAATTAAATATTTACAAATTGAATATTAAGACAATAAAATAATACAGTAAATAATAAAAATATTTAATTTCAAATTTATTTCTGAAAAATTAATTTTTGAACTCATATGGTATATTCAAATTAAATTTGAAACATAAACATCAAATTAAACTATATGTATATATGCCTTGTTTTACTTTTTAAAAATCTGATTAAAATATTTTGGTATTCTAATGACTATACCCAACTCTCTTTCAAGTGTCTTTTGCCGGTATTGTACAACTATTGAGATTAGTGCTTTCAGAACTTTATCAATTCACTAGGAATATGACACTAAGAATTCTATTACATCTCCTTATTCTGAATGCTGTTTTAAATTTAGATAATTTTCTTAATCATCACAACATGATTAACTGTACAGAACACGAAAATTACTGTATATAATATTTTACTACACATAATAATAATTTTATATACATTATTAAAATTTATTATGAAGTTTTAAGTTTCTTTATATAATGGGTATCTATCATTTGAGCAGATTTGTTTAGGCAGTAGCTTGCATGATCCGTGTAGTGACCTTAGACTGATCACAATTGTATTTCTGTTTATAAATTTTAATATATCAATATATGGTATGTCAATATTGATTTATTTCAAGATCTCAATGCGCTATGTTTTATATTATTTTTATTATTATTAAATAATAGGCTATGAATGTACCCGATCTAAAAGATCTATTGTGCATTTATAAATCTTGTAATTACTGTGGGCTTGATTTTACCTATTTGATTTGGGACTAATATCCCACTTCCAAGGTAGTCGAGTCTACGTCTTGTCACCGCTGGGCAGTTGCATTAAATAAGAGTCGACAGGAATCACCTTCTATCGCATCTATAATCTTCATGTGGTAATTAACTTACACTGCCCTGTAAGAAATTCAGTGTAGATTTTAAATTCGTTTCTTCTCAAGGATAACAAAACGATAACATAAACTTTGATGTGTTCAGGATCAATGAATATTTTTGACTGCCGCATGCCTGTTTGAGCTCTCCAGTGCTCAAGTAGATATTGTTTCTCATGTTCACATAATAAGTTATTTGTATGTTTTTTATAAAACCTTTTTATATATACGAAAATTTTATAAGTATTAATATATCAACTTCATATTATAAACTAAACTTTTATTTTAATTTTTAAAAGTATATATTGACTGTCATCTATTCAAACAGTTTGAAGAATTTTATTTTTTTAAGAAACATTTATTTCAAAAGTAACAAAAAAATATAAGACATAGTTATTAATCAGGAACGACAATCCACTCAAAAAGTATATTTTTCAAGCAATTTATGTTGAACCTCATGAGGTTTAAATTTTTGACAACTCGAAAGTAAAAATTTTAATAAATCTTTTTATAATCAAAATCTGTATCAACGAACACTAACATTTTAATAAAGTGTTAAATGTTTCCATTCTAAAAATATATATATTTCATAGCAATTTAACAAACCTATAAATTTCACGAGTTCTACTCTATGGCATATGCTTACATCATGTACCGCCTTATCTCAAGGTCTTGGTCGCGCAATTGAAAAAAAAACTTCAAGCATATATTTTATTCCTACGAAAGTTGAACTGTTTTATTTCATTTGTTGTATTATTCTTTGATAAATATTTTTAATTATTATGCAATCTAATATGGCAATTATAATTTAATACTTAAATATATAATACTTAAATTTAAAACATTGTTCCACCTAAGAATACGAGTATGTATATATACTTCTGACGCCATTGATATATGTACGTAACTGCAATCTTATCAAAAACC